ATCACAAATGAGATTGATGAGCTTGGGTCAGAGGCTGCGTACGTGCTCCTGCGATATTCAGCTGAGTGAATAAAATACAGTTAGTGCATATACATTAGCATCCACCTGTTTCGGTACACAGCGCCATGCGCGCACCTTCGCGGGTTTCACTTTGTTGCAACAGGCAGCGCGCGAGAGAACTAAAAGCAGTGAGCACCCTTCTGCCTCTTCCTGCAAAATCACCTCTTGTGTTATTGGTACCCAGTAAAAACAAAAACCACTTGAAACCAATTGGAAATTCCAGTTGGTCTCAATTGCCCCAAGTTGGTGGGACTACATGAGTGTCGCCCAGTTATCCAATCAGTTTCAATGGGATACTCTGAAATGTCCAATCGGAGAGCTAGCTCAGTTGGCTCTTCTCCGCCTGGTTCTCCAACACTTTTAGAAAAAGTCACCTGGTTCAACTGACCATACCAATTGGCCCCCTATGGTATGGGCTGCAACCAATTGGGACCTTGAACTCGACCGGGTAGCCCAATTGAAAGTAATCGTTTCAAATGGTCACAACACTAGGTGTAAATTTTCCATTTTGCCACCCTATTAGAATTTTCGATAATCTAAATGCTTGTGCAATTCCAATTGAGGTCAATCCATGTTAGAAGATTTTTTTCTACTCCGAATGTTTCAATATACCTATATCCTTCAATATCCCTGCGCTATTGTGGTATTAGGCCATGTGGTATTAAGCCTTCAATTTGACATTTGTATATACAGGACCAATTAGTGATTGTTGTAGGTCCAATCAGTGCTCCATATAGGACAGTTCCAGGTGGGCCTCATTACATACTGAACAGATATTAATTATATTTAATATCCAGTTGAGAGAAATTCACCAGGTTTAATGTTCATCGAATGATTAATTGAGAGTTTCATACTAAAATTTATAAATGGGGATGGGCCAAGGACCCTTTACACCAGATACAGTTCTAATGAGAATTCCACAAATTCATTCCAATTAGATTTTAGATTGCAAGCTGGTTTCAATTAGACATCACAGAAATGAGTAAAGCTGTGAAACAAGAAACATGTTTCCAATTACATGACTACTCTTCAAATAAAACATCTTTGCATAATAATATGCTCTACATAGTGTACCGATTATTTCACCAGTTCATTTTACAGTTGGCCCCAAAAACTACTCAATTGTTCATGGGACCTGGCACAACTTACTAGGCCGAAATTTCAGGCACATTAAGCACCTTCGGAGAGACTAACATTTGTATAGAATTTTTTTCTATTTCACGCTAGCCTTCACTAATGTCAAGTTCATGCAGTCCAACATCATTTCTTAATTTTGATGTGTCTCCAATGAGATTAGCAGGTAACGCTTAATTCAGGGCGGCTACATGGTATTTCCTACTAAAGAGGTTGTCCTGAACAATCAACTTAATTGGCCAAACCAATTGGATTGTTTGTGCTACGGATTGTTTGAGTTGGTTAGACCCATCAACACAATCAATAAATCCAATTAGAACTCTATGCTATTTCCAATGGGGGAACTGTGTTCACCCAAACATACATTACTCTTCGCTAAAACCAATTGAGCAGGGTGTGCCTCAGGGCAGCATACTAGGCCCACTTCTATTTGTTATATATATAAATGATATTGTGAATGTTGATGACTCAGCTAGCTACATTATCTGCACGGATGACACCAGTTTTTTCGTTCCAGGAACTAAGGATGACGAACTTATACATCTGGCTAATGAAATACTAAGAAAAATAAATAACTGTTCAGTAAAAAACTCACTTCAGCTCAATTGCTCGAAGACAAAAGCAGTACTCTTTAGAGCAAAATCTACGCCTTGCGATCACACAAAGTGTCTTATGCTAAATGACTCTAAAGTAGTACTCTCTGCGTTGGCTAAACCATTGAGTGTCATCTTTCACAAACTGGCAACTTGGGACCACCATACTGATCACTTAAAATCTAAGCTTCCCAAGGTTTTAGGTATGCTGCGCAGATGCCAGAAACTTTTACCAATACAACAGAAACTCATGATATATAATGCACTCTTTGCTTCACATCTGCGCTATTGTCACCTCGTTTGGTCAAACAGCACTAAACAATCATTAGAAAATTTAGTCACACTACAGAAGCAAGCCCTACGGGCTATTGCTGATCTACCTTATGAGCACACGCGTGACCTATATTTGAAGCTCAAAATTATCCGAGTTGACCACTTTTATGAGTATCAGTTCTTTTAAACATGAAACGATTAAGGGCAGTACTCATACGAGGAACATTGCTAACTTGTCAATAAATCAATCATAACGCATAAACCGACACACCGAACATTGGGCAGTTCCGCGACCACGCACAAACTACGGTTTTCAAACACTTTCCTACCGCCTTCCTTCAATACTAGACAAGTATACTAAATTAAGTGATGACAACATACGTCATGTTTCCAAAAAGTGAATGCTTCAACTAATTTTATGAACACCGATGTTGAGAATGTTTGTTTCATACTTTTTTTCTTCTTCTCTTATCGCTTTGCTTTATGTATTTCTATTTTACTATTGTGACAAGTAAGAATTGTTAATGTTTGCTGCTGCTGTTATTGTTCTGGGAGGTAGGACTAGTCAAGCTGCATACATGCAGCTTTTATCCCACCATCCTTATTGTTTAAACATGTTTTGATATATGTGGCAATAAAGTTCACTTCACCTGCTAGCCTAATTGGTCAATCTATTTAGATATTGATTGCCTTACAAATTGGTACATTGATCAGGCCCATTCAAGCTAAAGGGATGGCCCATTGAACCCAATGAAATTGTCCAATTGGTATTCCAAAACGTAACTGGAAATTTCCAAATGGTTCCAATTGCATCCAATCGGAAATTTCTAATTGGATTGGGCAAACTTTTTTGTCTGTGGTGTCACTTTCCTAGGTTCTGTTTCCCTATTTCTTTTCCCACCACTAGAAGCTTTCCGCAGATGCAGAAAGCTTTCTGCATCTGGGAGTCGGTGGCTTTACAAGCCATCTGGGGCATTTCTTCTGCCCCTCACCTGGTTTTGCTCGGCCTCCATGATAAGCCCACATTTGACCAAGCCGTAACCAAGCAACAATGTCAAGTTCACTTTTCCCATCTGTGACGTTATGATGATGTCATCATGCAATTATTTTTTGCACAACTTGTATTAAACGGGGTTTGCTGATGAGCAATTTTTGCATTTGATGCGATATCTACGCTTTTCCCCTTATTAGAGTTTTAGAATAGTGTACACAAAGCTTAAAGGCGTTGTGGGCATAGCGTTAGAAGTTCGTCATTCCACGAGATGCTCTCTCACCAAAAGCTGAGGGCGCAGAGCCAAATGGCAAGAGTGCTATTGATTGGCGCAATGGTGAATGAAAGACAGCGAACACAGCGAGATGCACTATAGCACTTAATTTTTTTTTTTTTTTCAGTAAAACAAATACGTACTCTAGCCCGGTGATCCTACGCCTGTGCTATCCTCACCTATAGCCTACGAACGCGTGTAAGGCGTGCGGGGAAAGGGCCACACTGCAGCACATGCTTTGGGAGTGTGCTGAAAACGTTGACGGCACTGCCGCCGCTCCCTTCGCGACACATGTTAGGCAGGGGTGAAATCCAAGGCCAATTGCTGCTGCCACCACCGCGCAAGGGCAGGGGCCGACCTCCGGCGCGGCGACGGTCACTGTTGCCGATCGGCGGCGTCAGCTGCGCTGCCGCTGGGAGGCGGCACTCACCAGCAATGAGCTGCCCGACCAGCTTTGGGCCGTCCGGCAAGCTGAAGATGCCGCCCGGGTGCAATAACTTCGAGCGGTCACCTGAGGCTCCGCCATCATAGTCAACGGAGAGCGAGAAAGGACAGGGGTTAATCCCCTCTTCCCCAACCTCGCCCGATAAACTGCCGGACTTTAAATAAAGTCTATTCATTCATTCATTCAGTGAAACACTCTCCAGCACACTTACAACTTTAAGGAACCTACATCACCACGGTTCAATAAAAAATTTACAATGGACCTAGTGAAGGGCCTTTTAAAGCTGGCTCAACCACTACACAGAAAATTGTGGGGTGAAGCCCACTCCCTTATAATGTTATAGTAATTTAGGTTGGAAGCAGCAAGGTATACCTCCCAATGAGGCTGTGACCAAATGTAGCACCACTTGCAGAACATACAGCTGTTGCATATGTTGTCAAGCAAGCTGTGCATAACCTTTCCTGCTGTATGTGTTGCAAAAAAACCATAAAAAGCATTTGACATATTTAAGTACAATTTCGCTTATTTACAATTTCTCACACTAGAAAACAGCTACAACACTAAAGACATTTACTTCAGTGTGGTTATGGTTAACACGCAGTGCCATTTAAAATTATGTGCAGTAGGTGTGACATTGCAAACAAGTGAAAAGTTCCCAGCATGACACAGATGCAACCTTTATCAACTTATGAAATGAATGAAACCCTTTCTTACCGTGCTACTAGAGTTACGCTACTCCCGTTTGCTATGCTTGAGCAATATTCTGAAAGAATGAACAGAATACACATGAAAACCTGAACACTTTCTCGAGGCCCCAGCTACATTACATGACTAAAGATGCTTGTCCTGTGCTCTGACCCCAAGGTTGACAGCGCATACAAAATCTGTACTTTCTCAGCCTTAGAAAAACTGTTTTCAGAATACCGTGAGCTAGCTGGCTGGCATGAGCAAATTATCTGGCTTCAAAGTTTTCATCGGTCATATTATAGCAATTCTAACGTTCTTTTGTGTGTAGGTGTGTGTGTGTGCGTTTTTGCATACGTTGAGTGAAATGCGAGAGAATAACGATGCTGTACTTCTATGGCAATGTGAAAAATATTCCTATCTTCTGCTTAGTTCATGGCCATTTTTTTAGGTAAAAGTTTAAACTAACTAGTTCCTGTGTCCCTAAATTACGAGGCACAGATATTCGTTCGCATGTAAAATTAAAACGTTTCTGTGAAACCATCACAGAGATTATATAAAATTTTATTGTTCAAAGCATCATAACATAAAAAGACGCACAGGCACTTGTCATCTCTTGGCTACATATCAAGAGACACGTATAGTCCCACATAGTTCATGCATTAGGTGCTACCAGGATTGTGCATACCAGCATGCTAGGACACACTGGCACATGCAGCTTGATAGCGATTGGACACTTGCTTGTAGCCAACAACTAAAGGCTGCCCAAGTGCATTAGAAAGTGTACAAAGCACACCACTAAAACAACACTACAGCCAGATATAACCTAAGAAGGCAGGAGAGACACAGTCCAGATGACCGAAATGCAGCATCAAATTGCTTCCGCGACTTGCAGTAGGTCCACTCAAGTACTAGGTCAGAGGTCGGCAACCTGTCGACAGAGGTGCGCATGCTGCCTGCAAGACAGTATTATGCGGCCCCAGGCACGACGTCTGAACCCTCATCTTTCCGACGTCGTGCCGATGTCAGAAGAATGAGGTTCCTCAAACAAAAAAGCTGGTCCTTCAACAGAGGAAGGGGGAAGGGGGGGGGGGGTAATGCTCTACTAGGAGTAAATTAGTGTTTAATAGACGCCACGTAATGTTCTTGGCATGCGGTGCCATTTAATGTAGTGTTGCTTTCCTTGAGCCAAATGAACTTGATTCAGAAACAAAAACAGCACACTGAACCAACCTACTAGTCCAATTCTTTGCATAAAAATACCGATTATTAGAATGACTTTTCGTTTACAACTCTGGAAAAAAAAAAAAAAAGAAACAGGTTTTCGCGGAACGCGCAGCACAGTTGCAGCGAAAGCTAGAAGAGCGACCTTTCAGAGTCTTTTCTAAATACTCTTTGGGTAACTGCTACAAGTACACTGCTGGGTACCCACTATGCCATAAAAATAATTTTTGCGTAGTAGGCCAGCATTTACTATGCTATCCTTTGTCATTCTTTGGAGAAGCGTGGTATCTGCTACACGCTTGTTAGATATTTTGTGCAACGTTTCATGCTGTGGAAGAATTACGCCTGAAGTGGGTATGCATCACAGTTAACAGGTGATCAAGAGCAAGTTTTCTAATGGGTTGGAGCATTTAATGACCTACTCGTTATGCAATTCACATTGTGTGATGCCTGGCTGTTCATTTCATGTTCTAAAATGCTTTATTACTTATATTAACGCGATTCCTTTCCCGACATGAAGCCTGCCTAAAGCCAGTTTAAAAACAAGTTCAATGCACTGGCGTGACTCAGTGGTAGAATACTTGGCTGGCACGCAGTGGACCCGGGTTCGAATCCCATTGTGCCATTGGTGTTTTTTATTTACAGCTTTTTTTTTGAAAGTGGTTACCGACATCGGCGGTGGCGGACAACTACGGCGCCGCATGTGACCCATGCTCTGATCTCATAACAGCTTTCGCAGTAAAAAACCAGCCAATGATGGTGGGTGCGGACAGGCAACCGGCCCGCTGTCTGAAACACTGGCCGAGCAGGGCTAAAACTGGTCGGTAAAACCAGACCCTAGTCATCCTCTCCTTGACACTTCATATCTGGAGGCCTACATGGCATTCTTTATTTGAGGTGGTATTTTCACTTCTAAACTGTTTATAAATTGCAACCTTAAGCCATACGCACAAAAAATAGCAATGATTTCTATTCCATTTGCCGTACAATAAGTTCGCCAACCTCGCCCCTCCTCGCACAAGTCTGCCGTCTAGCCCCGGCTGTGCTGGCTTCATGTGAAGTGGCCCTCTTGGCAGAAAAGATTGCCGACCCCTGTACTAGATGATGGTTTCTGACCACAAATTCACTGACCGTCAAACTTACAATGTCAATCTGGATCGGCGTGCACACTGTTTCAGGCTTGTGTGCATCCGCCTTTAAGGTCGAAACACCACTGCCTTTTAAAAAAGTACATGACTACAGAAATGCTAACACTTGGTGTCAACGCAAAGCTGTATACAAAAGTGGCCAGAATGAAACATTTGGTGGTTTCTACAAAACAAAAAAAGAAATACATACATTTATAGTGTCCTTAGACTATGATTATGGACAAAAGTCAGTGAAATGATGCACGAAAAAAAAATCTCCTCAAACAGTAAAACACAGAAAATGAATGAAGATATGTATTGGAGTACAACAGTAATGACAACTAATAAGTAACAGTATAAAAACCGAAATAGTAAATAAAAACAAATAAATTTGCTTCAAAAAATCGAATCCTCGACTGTGACCCGACACAAAATAGGAAATACATAGATATATCATGCAAATGTTCCTGGCATTCAAACAGCACTTACTTTCTATGCAGTAGCTGCAATTTTTCGGACTCATTTCATTTACACAAAATCCCACTAAATAAATGTAAAAACACACGTTACCAAGAAAAACAGCTAGCTAAAATGACAATGCTGATGAGTACTGACAGTACATTTATAGACTATTGACAATTAGTATTTGACAGCTGTATTTCTCCGTTCGTTTCTCACAAATAAACAGCTTGCTTGCACAGAAACAAGTCAAAATTTGTTCACTCGTGGCCGACACCATTCATAGCGAATATAGGTGCATAATATACACGTGCATACTAAGCCGAAGCCTAGTGAAGAAAAAAGCAAGCTGCAATAGGGCTAAGACATCGCTCTTGATGACCCCGCAGTTAACCTTCAACAATGAAAGCCCACCAATATAACATAATAGTTTTTTGTTCCAGTGGCCCTACAGGTATACAAAACCCATTGCAGGTGCTAAAACATTATAGGGGTTCTGCAGAACCTTTTGAGTGTAGGCAGTCACAAATGTAACAGAACTTATTTCAGAGCTGGCGCTAATATCGAAATTTCCGCACAGTTTTCTTGCCTAAACAACTTATTGGCATCAATTCATAAATTGCTGTATGTGCTATGAATGGGTAAATAACTAAGTTTTTAAATTGAAAACTACACTTTCAATATGCACTGTGATTGCTTGTGCACATAATGCCCACCTCATTGGGAAACCCAGATCTAGAGGATCTGCACCCTAAAAAGCCACAGGCAACTTATGAAAGTTTTTTTACTGACAATTCATTGTGCTAGATAAGCGTACTTTCAACTAATTGAAGGTCAACTTCAAGGTACTGTCTATTACTTTTTTTAAAGTAAGCATGCACTTTTCAGCATTCTCTATATATTAGTTATTTTGCGCTGGTTCATTTTTAGTTGAATGGCTCAAAGTCGAGCTAGAAATGCCCAGTCATTCTGCTAAGCAGGCATATGATAAGCAATCAGGATGAAAAAACTTCAGGCGAACAACAAAGGTGAGCAAATCACCGTCCATTTGCAGCTTGAGTCACTATAAAAACTATTCAGTCGCAAAAGGCAGCTGAAAAATCTTCTTCGGACAACTGTGGCAAAAGGCCTCCCGATACCAGATGAAAGATATCATTTACCTTGAACTCCACAACATCTATGCATCAGCCGTGAGACTATGAAGGGCACTATTTTAGCGCGTCATGCATGCCTACAGGAGGCCTAAAGGCACAGCGGTACACAAGGCACGATTTCAGTCAATGTTCACACGGCAAGCATGGCAAAACATTTTTATAAGCCAACAACAATGGTGTAGCCCAAAAGGGGCTCTGTGCTACCGCTAAAACATGCACAACTCCAACAATCGCTCTTCTAACGCACCGATAAAAAAAAGTAAAGGTGTTTACAGCACACATCACAAACATACAGAACAGTTAGCCATCACAGCTCAGTGTCAAATTTAAGCTGCGAGAGTGTGTCATGCAACACCCCTAAAATGGCCCTTGCATGAGTAATACATGTTAACTGTTATGTTACATATGCTATGCATAATGCAAAAAACAAACAAAAAAGGGGGAATGCAAAAACGTGTCATGTACTTGTCCAATTCTCACACTTACTGGGTTTACTCCTATTCAGGCTGATGTAATTTCTTACAAAATGATGAAACAAAAATAATGGTGTGAGTGCGATTCGAGAACTTGATTTTCAAAGAGCTAAAAGAGTTTAATATGGCTAAGGTGAGAATTAATTGCAAGTTCTCTATTAATAATTGCTGGGACTTCACACCCCACAACAAAAACATGACTGTGAGGAATGTTGTAGTGGAGGGCTGCGGAACTTTAGACCACCTGAGGTTCTTTAATGTGCACCGAAATCTAAGCGCACGGGCCTCTAGCGTCTCGGCTTCATTGAAACACTGCTGTGGTGGCTCGGATTTGATCCTGCGATAGCAGCCACTCCATGCCAGGCATTTAACAACCAATAAAATAATAGTTGACAGGGACGCTGTAACAAATGAACACTTAAAAAGGTTGTTTAGTAAAGAGTAAAGAGAACTAGTTGCATCGGATGCATTTAGTACAAGAACAGCGGCAGACTAGGAAGAGTCGTGAAAGCAGGATCCTGAAAACCGGGTGCAGTAATCTGAAATCATTGATTCAAACTGCAGACACATAGAAAAAGCAAGGCGAAATGGTATCGCACGTCATAAGTGCAAAATCCACATCAGGCTCAGAGTCGAATGTTTCCCCCTTCTAAAAACTTCATTTTTTTTGGGGTGCAAGTTTAAAGCTAAGCTGCTAAACTGAGATGCAAGTGAATATGGTACAAATAGCTGTGACCTTTAATAGTAGTCAATGTTGGCCTAGCGTGTGATTGATTGCAGTGTGGATATGCCTAGTTTCACAAAGTTCTTCAGGTAGCACATTTCAGTGCATTCAACATGCTCAACATGAGCACATGCAAGCATAGCCAATTTGATATTACCGATTTTCACACATTAATTCTCTTCCTAATTTATATTAATAATCTTCCTGATACCATAACCTCATCAATACGTCTTTTCGCTGACGATTGTGCTATATATAGAAATATATGCGAACCTTCTGATCCCTCACAACTTCAAACCAACCTTAACACAATTTCAGCCTGGTGCAACACCTGGCTAATGAAACTAAACGTCGACAAGTGCAAATATATGAGGCTAACTCGAACAATCAAGCACACCCCTGTAAACACATATTTCCTGAATGGCTCCCCTCTATTATCGGTTACCACCTACAAATACCTGGGCGTTCGGATTTCAGATAACCTTTCGTGGGACTCGCACATTGAATATATTAGCAATAATGCGAACCGCATGCTCGGCTTCCTTGGACAAAATTTCTCTCGAGCTCCCACTTCATTAAAACTGCAGCTTTACAAAACCCTTGTACGACCGAAGATTGAATATGCCTCTTCTGTATGGGATCCACATTCTGCCAATCTTGTCTCCACACTTGAAGCTATCCAAAATCGGGCCGCTCGTTTCATTCTCTCTGATTATTCTCGGTCATCCAGTGTCACTAACATGAAACAAGTAGTACAACTACCTGATCTTGCAACCCGTCGTATGATATCCCGCCTATGTGTTTTCCATAAAATATTTTACACCAATCAGACCTTAAAACAATCCCTTTTTTCAGTTCCATCATACGTGTCATCCCGCATTGATCATCCGTTAAAAGTTGGTGTGCCAAACTCCCGAACAAACCTCTATCTGAACTCGTTTGTCCCAACGACCAGCGTGCAGTGGAATCGCCTTCCAGCCTCCATCGTCTCCATCAGCGACGCTGCGCACTTCAGGTCCACCGTCAGCAAACACTTTTTGTAACCACTCCGCTGTTGTCTTTTCTCTTGATTGTTTAATATTGTACCCCTCCTCTCTGTAACGCCTTACGGCTTAGAGAGTAAATAAATGAAATGAAATAAATGAAAAATTAAAAGACACAGGCATACATCTCACATGAATTTAGAAGGACGACCAATCAATATTATATGACTAATGAACTAATATCGGTAAACAGAAACTTTATGTAGGCATGCTCTGGACAAGCTGTATTTCCAGAATTCTGCTTAAGACTGAATTTTACCGGAGGTATTCACTTTTTTTCACATAACTGATTTTGTAGACAGGCCATTCATTAAACAGAACATAAGTAGATGACATGCATACTCACAAGAAACAACCACCAAAAGCAGAGAACCTGACAATTTGTTGACCATAGTTACTTGGGTTCTTGAAATGGTGAAAGGAAACAAGTAATCAGTGTCCTTAAGCCTGTTTTGTTAATCGCTACTAGGGTGCACGTTAAAGAACCCCAGGTGGTCAAAATTTCCGGAGCCCTCCACTACGGCGTCTCTCATAATCATATGGTGGTTTTGGGACGTTAAACCCCACAAATCAATCAATCAATTAATCGCTACTAGTAATTACACATTTGTAATGTCACCATGACAAAATATCTAGTTTTACCTGTGAATCTCGTGGGTTTCCCCAGTGATTTCAAGAAAAAAAAAAGTCCATGCATTACGTTCCTGCACATCTCGTTTGTATTACAGGTAGCAGTTACCATCGAGCCGAATAGACAGTATATGGTGTTTCAAAACCAACAAGAAGTGTGTCAGTGGGCACTCTCACACTGTTCCTTTAGCGCCAGGTGATTTTCTAAAGCGTTGTTTTATTTGGAAAGAACTGTCATATGAATTGCAAGGGTATGTGCCCCGCAACACAAATATTAGCCGTGCCTACATGAAAGTGCGTAGTGTGCTCGCTTCAAGCTAACCACCTCCTATATACAACTTGCACTAGATGATTGTAAGGCAAAACGTCCCCTTATGCTATAGCACATCAGTACATTTATAAATGCTGTGCGACATATGCCCTGAAGAGTCCACAAGATGCACGGATAATGGCAGGAAAGCAGGCGGAAGGCACGTATAAAAGGCGTCGCCTTCCGTACAGCAGCTCCAGTCTGAAAACGTGAAAGCACTAATGCGACGAACACACATTGCAATGCTATAAAAACTAGAGGTACCGTATAGTGCGGAATATAGGTCGAGATTTTTTCCAAAAAATTTCGCTAAAAAGTCACCCCTCGACCTATATACCGGCCCTTGGCATAAACAAAGTGATCGTCTGGCAACAGGGAGTGTCGCATGTTTTTTGGGCATCAGCATCGACATCGCCTCCATGGGCCGACGCCTCTGCCGACGCCATTTTTCTTTTCTTGTTCATTTCGTGTTCGTAGAGAGTGGCGACTTTTACTCTGCGACCAGCTATGAATACCGGGACGCGGCGCCAGTTCACCGCCGCGTTTAAAAGAAAAGTTATAGAATTCGCGGAAGTGAATGGCAACATGGCGGCACAGCGGCAGTTTGGAGTGTCCGAGAAAAGCGTCAGATACTGGCGCAACCAAAAATCCAAACTGTCAGTGTGTAACGCGAGGAAGACGTCGTTTCGCGGTCGCCGAGCTGTGCACCCGGAACTCGAGGACAAAGTGGCGGATTTCGTCCGCGAGTACCGTGCCAAATCCCTTCCCGTGAATGCGGAGCTCATTCGCTCAAAAGCCGTCGAGCTCGCCCGTGAAGCCGGCCTGTCAAAGAAAGACTTCAAGGGATCCATTTATTGGGTCCGTCGCTTTATGCGACGCAAAGGATTTGCGCTTCGACGGCGCACGTCGATATGCCAGAAGCTGCCGGAGATGTACGAGGACAAATTGATAGAGTTTCAACTCTATGTGAACAACCTCCGGCGGCAGCATGGCTACATGCTAGGCCAGATCGGCAACGCCGACGAAACGCCGGTGTGGTTTGACATGCCGTCGTCCACGACTGTTTGTGAACGCGGGGCAAAAGAGGTGAGGCTTTTGTCGACCGGTAGCGAGCATTCGCGCTTCACCGTTATGCTTTGCTGCACGGCCGACGGCAGAAAGTTGCCCCCCTTCATAATCTTCAAGCGGAAGACGATGCCGAAGGAGGCCTTCCCGCGGGATGTCGTCGTCCGCGTCAACGAGAAGGGGTATATGGACGAGGCCCTAATGCGCGAATGGATCCGCACAGTGTGGAACCGGCGGCCCGGAGCCCTCCTGCAGCGCCGGAACATGCTCGTGTTGGATGCATTTCGCGGGCATTTGACAGCATCGGTGAAGGAGAGCCTTCGCGACGGAAGGACGGATCTTGTCGTCATTCCGGGAGGAATGACATCAACACTTCAACCGTTGGACGTCGTCCTCAATAAACCTTTTAAAGACCGTGTGCGTGCGCTGTACACCGAATGGATGGCTGGCGACAACCCGCGGACCCCGACAGGCCGGCTGCGCAGGCCACCTCTCGCGACAGTTTGTGGTTGGGTCTCCGAGGCATGGAGGTCTCTGCCTGAAGAGATGGTGGTGCGCGCATTCAAGAAGTGCTGCATCAGCAACGCTCTCGACGGCACCGAGGACGACATGCTGTGGGAGGCGGCTAGTGACAAGCAGTCGTCGTCGTCGGAGAGCTCCGACAGCTCGGAGGACTGTGAGGACTGACTAAAGTGAAGCAGTGAACGATTCCGCGTTTTTCTTTTTTTTTTTTGCTGGTCAAGGTAAGGGGGTCGACCTATATTCCGCCTCGACCTATATTCCGCATTATACGGTAGATTTCAACAAGTGATTACTTGGACATTTAAGTAGTATGTGGTGAGAGTAGCTAGCACCAAGCGATTCCCGTAGCAAATATATGACTTAATGAAGTATTTAGTAACCTGACCTTCAGCCTTTTCTTTCTGACGTTTGCTTCCGCAAGACCGGTCAACACATCATTTTAACAAAAAAACGCTACAAATGCATTTCCATACCTGTCGACGACTGACACATGATTTTTCATAAAAGTAGAAAAAATCTGCATCAAGAACTCTTAAAACTAAGTTGTGACACTTCAAAAAAAAAAAAAAAACTATTATATATGTGCAGCTTGGAGAACTTCCAGTATGCCACTCAGCTGCATTCCATTCAAGCATAGACATAATGCTCTGCACAGGCCAATTCACCTCAATGGCAGCAAATTAAAAAGAAATGCTATTTCGTTACACATACATCTTTAAAAACAACGAAGGATTAATACATCGTACCCAGACCTGTCGGCATTATCATCTCGGCATTGCCGAACGCAGATGCTACAATGTTGGCAAAAGTGAAGAGGGCGACTGTGGTGGCGACTCCGGCTCCGACTGAGGAGTCTCCTGGTCGACAGAATGGGGTGAGTACATCTGCAGTGGCAGGTCATTAGAAAGTACTTGCTCTGGAAGCTCTAGCAGCTCTAGCTCTGGATTCGGATTAAGCACCGGCTCTTGGTCTTGTGGAGCTTGCGCATTCGGCTGTGAATGTCTGACAGGGACGCCGGTGCACTCTTTCGAGTGGCAGGCCCGCTGAGACTGGGTTCGGAACAGGCGGTAGCATCGGCAACACCTGCATGGAGGCAATCATGAAGTGACCAGCCTTCTACTAACGATGACATTCAGACACCTCGTCACAGCATCTAGAAAAAAAAAAAAAAACGTTTTCCTCTAAAGCCTTCTGTAACATCTCTTCCTTAAAAATGAATACCTGGATACATCTGTTATAAAACCTATTCACGTCTCGAAAACATACATTCTTCATGTTTGTTTAAACGTGGGTTGACCGACACTTATTCGAGCTGTCAATGTACAGTACTTAAATCACAGCCTGTAGACCCATTCCATGTTTGTAAACACAGGTAGGCGGACGTCGGCATTATGGGTCAAATTATAGCGACGTCCGCACGTAACTTCTGCTCACGTTTTCCCGGCGGGAAAGCCCGACTCCATGCCCCGTGCCATGCCGTTGTCAGATGGGAAGGAGACGAGGCGCCCGGAGGCGATTTGTCTCAGAGTCTCACGTAACTCATCAACCTATCATCATCTATACGTCTGCCCCGGCATGTCTTCCCCCTCAGGGGGGGGTTTTGTTTCAGGCAGACGGCCATACCCTGGCAACGAGGCCGCCACTCAGCACCAGACGCCACACAGATGTGGCCTGCCTCCAGCGTACAAGCCAAGGAGACACAACATAGGGGCTACCCTTCGATGCGGTAACTTCGATCACAACACTGTAAATTCAACCAGGCTGCTAACAGTTCGTGAACACAAGCGTTTCGGTGTATATTTTACACCGGACCTTTCCCGGAGCCATCACATCGATCACGTCACAAGTAAAGCAGGACGTGTGTTAGGTTTCCTGCGCAGAAACGCAAGTAAATTACCACTTGAGGCCAAGAATCAACTATATATGACTAACATTCGATCTGTCTTAGATTACGCTAGTGCTGTGTGGGAATCCGTGGAAGGCATGTGATGTGTCCAACTTAGAAAGAATTAAAAACATGGCTGTTTGGTTTGACTCCTCTGATTTTACCGGAAATTTTAGTGTTTCAAAAGCAAAAGAAAAGCTTGGTTGGGAACTTGAAACTTTTACACAACATATTTTATAGCCTTACAGGTCTGGACCTCTCACGATATTTTTGCAAACCGGACTACGTTTCACAGCAACTAGATTATGCCAATAAGATAAGGGAAATAAGCTGCCGCACGGACGCATTTAAAATGACATTTTTTCCCAGGACGATAACGCGGTGGAATAGGTTGCCTTCTGAAGTAGCAGTGGTTACTTCACATGAAGTATTTTCAAGATTACTTCAGGGTCTAGAGTAGTGTGCTCGCGAGGATGTGTAGGGGATGAAACGGTATTGTGAAGCTGCTTTGTATTGTCTACTCCCACATGCCGCTACGCATAGTTGACAATGAATTGCATTATTATTGTGCTGTAGAAGTGTGAGTACCTGTATTCAGTGTTGAAATTTTGTATTCTTCCCCTCCTACCCTCCTCTGTAATGCCCTTGGGCACTGTGGGTACTATGAAGATAAATTGTAAGAATTTGTCACTACAAAATAAATAAACACGCAAAGCGGATGTACCCTGACAAGGTGAGCTATCGCAGCGCGTGGGGCACGCCGTGGTCATGGCCCGTCTCCTGACCGCTAGGGCCCAGCGAGACACAACCGATAAGCTGCTGAGGGCTGCGATGTGCGCCAACCAACAAAACGATGTTGTGAGACGCGACTCCCCGTCACGTTCTATGTTTGGCACACAACCTGATGAGCTCGCGCCGGGGACCAGTTCGCCTGTTTTACCGCTGCAGCCCATTTCTCACGACGGCCCTCGTCAAATGGAAATCGATAAAAACTTATCCTGCCCTTTCTTATGCCTTTCAGCACATTCAGCCGCGACGCAGCTCCTCGGCATACCGTTTTTTTTTTTTTTTTTCTCGTTGCTTGACTGAGAGCACCACATGCATCATCGAAAGCCCAGCAGGAACTGTGGTAGGCAGGACCGTCTTCTGCCTACCAAGCGAAACCAAATGCCCGACAAGAGCACCACCGCATTTTCGCGACGTATGCCCGGTGAAATTTGTCTATACTCATAACTCTTATGCTGTCCCTGACTAGCCGTAGCTAATGCGACCGTACAGTTAATGTTCCGATTGCTAGCTTTCGAAATAGCTCACCAAATGCCAAGATTGGGCTAGCCAGTCTAGCCCTAGAGTTCATAGTAGCTAGGTAGGTTGGAATGCCAGTTCGAAGCACCTTCACTTCTTGTTGATGGAATAAAAAAAAGAAAAGTTTCACTAGACTACTGGATGTGAACCACACTACGAAGAAAACCAAGATTATATCAGCACACTACCCTTGTTCCTAGCATATACTGCTTGTATAAGTGTTACCTGCATTCATCCTGGATTAGCCACATGCTCCTGGCCCCCTCCCATTCAGCACTCCCAACACAGACAAGTAAATGGTACAAGAGGTTGTATAAGACCTGACAGGCTTGATTGAGTCTTTATTTTGCTTTTATCATCTTTTTTTTTTTTTACTGGATTCCTTTTAGTGATTTGTTGCATGCAGGCTGTGTTGGATCACCAGCTTTCACTTGTGCAGTTGTACAAACTCAAAAAATCCTAATTTCAGCACGCAGCTATAATGCACAAAGAGAGAGCACAAAGAGAGAGAGAGAGAGAGAAAAGGAAAAGTCAATTATTAGTTTTTAAACAGGGCCGTGTAAGCCTGTTGAGTATTCTTGGATGAGCAAAGCAAATTTCATAATCACTGCATTTCAAACGAGACGCAATGCCCTACACATTCTGTATTGTATTCACATTCGATATCAGCCACATCCTTGCACGCTGTCTTTCACTACTGCACGAAATCTGTTGCCGAACTCCCATTGAAAAAGTGGGAGTGAAAACCTCATGACTCGCGGGTTGCTGTTATTTTCTATCGAGTTAGTGCATCCTCCGACAATCACAAAGAGAAGTGCCCCCCCTCCCCCCTGACCTGAATGGCTTCTCTCCAGTGTGCAGGCGCATGTGGCTATAGAGGTCCGATTTTTGCGTGAAGGACGCGTCGCAGTGCACGCAGACAAAGGGACGCTCCCCCGTGTGGGTGCGCACGTGTCGCTTGAGGTTGGCACTTTGGGCGAATGCACTTGGGCACAGGTGGCACCGGAAGGGGCGCTCGCCCGTGTGTGTGCGCACGTGCGTCGTCATGCTCGAGCTGGCTGTGGTCGTGTAGTTGCACAGACGGCAAGACCGCACTCGGCCACGTACAGACACAAGCGCACGGGACAACTGTTGAGACCACGAAGGAGAAGAGCCTGCATGTCACAGGAAAAGAGCGCAAACATTTAATGAGACAACCTCAAATTATCGTTACGGATACAACTGCTAAAAACTATTTCATGACATGATACAACAACGCAATGCAATGAGGGCAGCCACGGCTAACTTGCATAGCCATTGCAATGGCACATGCCCCCATGCCCACAATGTGCACAAAGCGCAGATGTGAAGAAAACCAAGTGCTATCCCTATGCAGACACAAATTTTAAACACCCAATCCAGGTATGTGAAGGTGGAGGCTGATTTGACAGGTGACATACTTTTGCATTAAAACTAAGTAGTTTTTTGTTTTTTTGTATGGCAATGTGGATTTTTCGACCAGATCTTTAGAATGCATAGGAACAATGCGGAAGGTATTCTTGAGGTCTAATTACCTAAAATTGACTGTCCCACTATAATCAGGCTACTTTCAGTGATATTATTAGAGCAACTTGACTATTCCATCATAAAATTTCATTTTAAAGGTATTTTGAGTCAAGTAGACAAAGCATTTTGTAGTGCTGCAGTTCAATAAAACATTCGATGAACTTAAAGCCTTATGTTGTCCAGAAAAATTTAAATAGCTTTTGGCCCTTCTGATAAAAAGACATTTGGCAAATGCCGTCTGTGCGTGTGAAAAAATTTGAAACAAACATGCCAACCAAATATGTTGCAAAAAAAAAAAAAGAAGTTGTACTGGCTTCCACATGCATGTCTTGTTCAAAGACACCATTTCACACACAAATATATGTCCCTTCTTTGCCAATCTTCTAGAACTGTATGCACCTCACATTGATACACAGCAGATTTGCGAATTTCACAAGGTGTATCATGTTCATAAAGCTGTTAGGGCTAACGTAAAATGAAATCCTCTCACTACGGTGGCCGGTTTACACTGATCCCCCATTAGCCGACCACATTGTATGCCTGATAAATTTCACGTCTGTACTGCAATCTGTATAGAGCAGTCAGTGCCGTGGAGGCGACACAGGAAGTTCAGACTGCACGATATACAACACTGCATGTCTCATAGCCGCATTTTGTCGTGGTAAGTGCTCCAGTGAGCAGCGCAAGGGAAAAGCGCCTTGATGCTTCAAACGAAAAACAAAAAAAATAAAAACAACGAAATGCTCAGAGGTACAGAACAATGTATTCACAGTCATACAACATGGTTGTTTATCTCTAAGACACAGAAACTTCTAACTTTTTTCTCTTTACTCTGGATAAAATTGAAAGAAATCACACTGTGGGTGTGAACTTTGTATTTCCTGGCGCAAAAACATCTGCTTTGAGACGTCTCACTAGCCTCCACAGTTAAAACATCGCACTGACCACGATTGAAAGCAAGTAAAAGCGAGCTTGTCTTCATGTCTGTTCCTAATCAGATGGGTTTCCGTCCAACTATCGATTTCAGCCTCCACAGCGTTGAGTGCTACGTATGGAATGCAGACTAACATGCTAAATATAACTTCTAACTGCTTCAGAATAGGCCCAAATATAGTGAAGATACTGTTTCAAATACAGTACTAGTGTTCGACAAGTACTTTATACAATCCTAGCACGCACGAAGCATAAATTAGAATAGAATTGAACAGCATTTTAGACAGCACTTCTCAGAAGACAAAGCAAGCACAACACACGTGGCACTAAGTCTTCGATCCTCCGTTCATCCAGTCTGAAGCGCTATTTGATGCTGAAATGATAATTTATGAACTAGCCCAGTACAGTGTACATCTACAGCAGTATTAAGTTTAACATGAAAGGTGTAACAAGTTATTCATCTATATTCAGGCACAAAAAGTGCCAAGTATATGACAATATGAAGTGCAATTTCTTTTCTTTTTTTCATTATTTATTTGTGTGCCTTCACTTTGACAACATCCCTAATGCTGCTGTCACCTTAATCATGCTTAACTGCAGAGTACACTGGACATAGCAAAAAATCTTGCTACGCATACGATACACCCGAATTAGATTTATTACCTTAGTGAAAAGCCTAGTAGAGCAGGTATAATAGAAGGTATACAGACACATTTAAATAGGATGCAGTGATGCCTGTAAATATACTCTCTTTGCTATAAGAAAGTTCAAGAAACAAGAAAGTTTTTGAACAAGTTCTTGAATGGATGTAGCAAAGATTTTTTTAAAAGTCTGAAGCAGATTGCAAGTATGATTAGGTCCCTGGGCCCCTCAAAAACAAGTCAGGGTGCTCCTGCACTGTTTCAATATCTCTGATATATGAGTTGCTTGGATTAACATGAATCTGTCAATGTTCTTTTTTGTAGCCACCATGAGACCACTTTCTATAATTTATGATTTTAACAACAAAAAGAAACAGTGCAGCAAAAACAGTACGTAATTCCCTTGTTACAAACGAGCCAAGAATGTTTGGCAGCCAGTAACCCCCCATCTGAATCACAACTGAAGTGATAAAACAACAAATAAAACAGCCACATTGTAAACCAGAAAAAAAAGGTGGATGCATTCCTGGGAGAAGCTTGTGAGTTGGACTCCTCGCGAAGACTGAAGTACACGAGTTCTTGTACTTTTAGAAGGGATAGGTGCATCTGTAATAGAACAGATATCCCTGTAGAACTCAGCATAATACCAACACAAATTTATGCAAGCTTATCCCAATGGTATCCACAAAGATACCCATGCTAGACAATCTATCAAGTTTGCTGGCATTCATCACAAACATTAATTTGCTGATTCATAAAAAAACCAACTTCATGAGAGTGGAATACATGACAATAGATTGGGATGCCAGCGTAATTTGTTAGAAACATGTCGACAGCGGATGAAAGATTGGACAATAAGCTTTTGTAAGTGGTGCTTGTTGCCCCACAATTTTCCCCCTATAAACCTGCCTTAAACACACTTTTTTTTTCATCTCTGCTGAGATTTAGGATTGGAGTGCATTACATGGGCTCTATTAATGTTTTCTTTACAAAGCATTTCATGCATGCTGTTTATCACCTGTGCACAAAACTGAGCAACCACAGCCTAGTTCAAATAAGATATGATGGTACAAGTTTCTTCTTTTACCATTTCCATGTGCTGCAATTTATTCTAGAGAAGTTTAAAATATACAATGGCATCACTGTTCTGAAAATAAATTTTCATGTACAGTTACACCTAATATGAGTTGTAAGTTTCCAAGTTCTGCTAGAGTAACTAGACTGGACATCTCACAAAATGTGCTCATCACTTCACGACAGGAACACGCATTTCAAACAAGGTACAAGTGATGTCATCAATTTTGAAACCTGGACAGCTTAGTTTATTAATGTCACTACTGAACAAATACTACTGAAATGTCACAGTTTCTTCGGTTTGTCTGAATTAACAGAGAAATGCAGAAGGATAATGCCAATTTCTTCAGGTGGAAAACAGGAGACAGAAGCACCAGTCTATACATTTACGTATTTGCATTAAAGTTTTTCATCGACGTGATGCTTGCTAAAATACAACTTCATTTACATTACAAGGTATGGTAAATGTTAACTTCTCTTGCCCTAAATATGATGTGACGCAAATGGCAACATTACAAGTGCTCACTATTTAGCGGAATTCAGAAAGCTATCAGATGATGAAGCACATTTAAAGTAACAGCATAAAGGTTCATGCTCAGAAATATTACGTTGGGCAAGATGGTGCATAGCTTAACAACACAGCTGTAATGCAAAGTGGAATAGCAAACAAGGCAGGATAGGACACCACTTTTCAGCATAAATTTTTCGTTAAGCCACACTCAGGGAATGTGTATTGAGACAAATTACTCCGTCAGTGCTTTGTCACTCTTGAAACGGTATGCACATTTTGTATTACATAGGTTTAAACAGCATGTACATAAAATTGTGTCCTTGAGATACCAAGCTAACACAAGAAGGCAAGAACCGAAGCTGGCAGTAATGCCAGGTGAAGGCTCTGTTCAAATATTGCACCAAGACACTTCGTTTTCAATGGAAGTTAATTAGGAGTGTAGAGGAAGCATACGGTCAGCAAGTCCAGGTCGAAGCAAGAACCTTCATGACAACAAATGGCCGGACTCCGAGAGTGATTACCTCACGCAAGTTACGTTTCTGTTAGTGTGACATTTATATGTGCACTGTTCACCGTTAAAAAGTCGATCACGCTCAGTGATTGGTTTGTTTTTAGCTGCCTCGTTAGAGCGCTCTTCTGTTAATTGATGCAAATAAGTACATCATTCAATAGAGAACGCATCTTATAAAAGTTGTATATTTAACTGCATCTATAAAAGCCCAACGCTGGCTTAACTGTAACTACGGATGTTTAGAATTATCCAAACATACAGGAAATCCTTTTCAGAACTTCTTTGAGCAAACAAGAACCCAATACCAACCTCAGAACAGATTGCCTTCACACAAAGAAATGCACATGCAAGGGCAGACACGTCATCCTCGGTGGTGGGTTCATGCTCATTAAATGTTTATGGCTGTCAAGAAGAAAAAGAAAACACGGAAACACTGATACAAATATTAAGGCAACCATAATCCTTGATTTGGCTGTGTGTTAGTGGCATTTGCATGTCAGCATTCCTGTGCCATAGTGTATTCTTTGAGTTAACATAGTGTTTGATCACATTGCCCAAGCATATCTCAAGATTCCACACTGAAGTTCATGGTTGAGATCACACAAAAACTGACTGAAGTTATCATAAACTGAATGTAATAAACTTTCATTATCTTGACAGTTAATTAGCTCTTATCTTAAATAAACTTATGTTGCAGTACTGGACGTATTCAACCTAACTTTTAACTGGAACCACAACCATGAATATCATATCAGTTGTACTTTCTGCAAGATTTTGACAGGAAATCTGAAAAAAAAAAAAAAGTGAAACGCTCGACTGGAAGTGCATGAAAGAGAAACAAAAGCGCCACTCAGTGATCCTGTCACTAAAAGATCGACAGAGCTTTCGAAGTGTCCTCGCCACCTTTTACTTTAATATTAACATGTGGGATTTTATGCC